GTAGGTAAACTGCGATTCATCAAGAATATTAATACTGGATATTCCGGTTTCTTCTAAGATTGGTTATTTACCGTAGCGAAAGTGTTCTTAATGACGTCTGTTTGCCGATCCCCATGCGTTTCTTGATAATTCAACAATTCGCCTCAAAGCTGAACTTGTAGGAAACCGACTTCAATAAGCATTTTTTTATTTAGAAGATTATTGAGTTGGAAAAACATATCAAAACGATATAACATCTAATTTTGACAAAAGTCTTAGGTATAAGAAAAATGATAAGATATACATTTTCTTGAAGGGATTTCAAACCCATCTTACTATGTTAGTTGGATATTTCATAAACATCACCTTAATGCTAGCTAGCTTTAATATGAGATGATGGTTCGAATATATGAATATAAAAGCTCTAACGTAGCTAGATGATGTGATTACTAATTTCCTAATGATGCTAACTTGGTTAGCGAAACGCGCGTCGAAAGTCAGTTCTTTTGTTCTGGTATAGAAAAAGTGTTTTTATCAGATTCATTTTACGCCAGAGGGTCCAATTCCACATATCAAATTAAAAAATTTTAATATTCACACATTAGTATATAAGCTGACTTGTGGCTCTTGCCCAAAACTATATATTGGCCAAACAGGGAGAACATTTTCCCAAAGAATTAAAAAGCATAGAAGTAGTTTTGTGAATAGAAAAACCAATTCCACATTTGCAAACCACCTTTTAGCAGAAGGACGTCAGTTCAATCATGAATACGATGTGTCACATTTAGAAGAAAAGAGTTTGAAACTCAATCTTCTAGAATTTGATATCAATAGGTTCAAGAATTCAGGTAATTTACTGAATATTCAATTGGAATTGAATAACTTCCCGTTATTTTTCAAATGTGGAAATGTGGGACATAAGCTCAGGTAATTTGATTCATTACAAACTTAGGTAAAAATCGGGTAATTGAAATGTAGGTACTTCAATTTGTAGAATAAGGTATATTTAGCATTGAATATGTAAAATTAGTTAGTAAAGAAAATTCACGAAAATTCACGTGTTGCGTTTTTGTAAAATTGTTTAGTGAAAATCTCACAATAAAGTGTTTTTTGAATACGTTCATTAGTACCGTGATAACACTTTTTTCGAAGTTTGTGTCTTCATTATATTCTAACTCAGTAATTTTATCGCCTATAGTCGGTGTTGAAATAGCAGATGAAAAATCGATATATTAAACAAATAACACCCTAATCCCTGCCATAGCAATTTTATTTATTTTAAGGAAAACTTTTTTTGATTCTCTACTTGTTATGATATCTACTTAAGTTCCATTACCTACATTACACTACACAGGGTGTTTATTGAACATGCGGCAAAAACTTAAGGGCTATTCTGAGGATATTTTGTCCTTTGATGCTTTTTAATAGGGAGCTTTGTTTCGAAGATACAGAGCTAAAATGAATTTCGACAATAAAAATTTATCACCAAAAATTACACGCAATGTTTCTTAATTTCCAACACCGTTGAAAATGACTACCCCCGCTCGGGTGCAAGAATCCAATCTTCTCCTCATTGACTACCGAACTCTTTCAAAAACACCAGGATCGTTTCTGATTGCGTTACACCCAGCAATTATCCGATTTCTCAAATTTTCCACTGGAGTTGTTGATAGGTACCAACGGAATTGTTAGATTTTTTATTACTTGGTAGGTCCAGTGTAGTACGCTATACTTTTATTTCGGCTACGTTAATAATTTTAAAATTACCAAAATTCTAATGATTTGAAGAACAAATACAGAATAATATTATTATGATATATGGCCAAGAAGTATTTTTATTGTTCTGTTACCTACTCATGTTATTTGAATTTTACGTGCAACTATAGTTATGCACTTGCTTGTCTGTAGGACATTTACCCGAAGGTAAAATAAATTATTTCTCTCTTTCTGAATACATGTCCGTGAAGGCCCTCCAACATTCTGATATATTAATTCATTTATTCATTACCTCATGCGTGCATGCATCTTTGAATGTATGTAGTGAGTAATATTGGTAAAATATATTCGTAATAGAATAAAAAAAAAAAAATACTGGGGAGTTTGAAAAAAACACATATAATTTCAACGAGAACTTCAAAATTCAATAGAAAATGTGTGATATTTCCATAAATATTAATGACACACGAAAGAAGAATCCATCTGAAACAACTTCTCCCTTGAGAAGTACATAAAAACCTTTTGTTACATGTATTTTCTGAAAAAAATAATTTCTTGTGTAGGGTCTCCCAACAGGCACTTCCGAACTTTGACAATTGATAACGATAATCTTGTTGGAGCTATATCTGTCAAATTGGTTGTTATTTATTCAGTCTGTTTTGCCAAATCACCATAGCATTCAACAACACGTGCAAATAATGAAATTGTTTCATAAAAATGGATGTTCTGTTAGGGCAACGTACCGCGCGCTTCGCTCATTTTACAGATAAGATCATTTTTACGTTTACTTACGTACTGTTAAAAAAATGCCGATTGGAATCCTAGGTCACTCAATCCCCTTTATCTTATTTAAGGTTCTAAGGGTAGCATCTATACCTCTTTTAAAGGGGGGTCCACGTGGACCAAAAATATTTCTTGAAAGTTCCCTTGAAAATAAAATTGACGTGTCTTCCCGATTTTTCACATCATTTCTTAAAAAAATACAGTGAGGGTAGGAAACTATAAAATTGATAGTCTATATCCTCTAGTGAAAAAGTGGAAAGGATTTTTCCAGAAAAATTGATCTCTGTCAAAACAATAGGATTTTCATCTGAATCGCAGAAAATTAGGAAGTGAGACTGAAAAATACAATGGATATGAAAACGACTATTCTGCTGAAAAGTTTATTATAATGATGAAAATCCGAAAGTTAATAATTTCGTTCTCGAGCGTATCTACTGCATTTCGATGAGAAATCATTTTAGTAAAGTGGAAAAGTACATGTCCGCAAAATATACCTTCATAATAAAAGTATTATTAAAGGTGATTTCGAAGACTATAAGGTTCTTTTTCGATTCGGACAAAATATGGTCATGATGTGTAGACTTTCATGGCAAGTGTATAACGAATCATGTGATGTTTTCGTCGTTGTTAGCCGTGGTTTTCAGAATTTTAGGTCTGAGGTTTCGTCTATAACTGCGGTACACTTCAGGAATCGTATATTGAATGAAAATACTCTTTAGTTCTCATCTCGAACATGTTTCGACTATTGAGAGTTACCGTTGGTATGGGAACATTATTCGAGACATTTTTTAATCACAAAAATAAAACATATGTGAGAGAATTATCCAATTCTCGGTGAAAATTCATAATGCATTCAAGTAAAACTTCATTGTAAGATTTTCAATGAACAGTTTACAAAACCGCAACACGTGATTCGCTGTAAATAGCATTCTCAGACGTGTTCATATGAACATTAAGTTGATTTATGGTTCTTTTCCAAAAATTTCATATTACATGTCGTTAGACATCGAAATATTTGTGGAAGAAGAAAAATTGCACTTCACGTAGTTGACACAGCAAAACAAGACTAGTCAGATGAAAATCTTATTGAATGTTTTACAAAACTTTTATGGCTCAAACACAAATAATTTCAAAAAATGATCAATGTTCATCAATTTAGTTACTATTTAGTGTGTGTTTGGATAGCTGTAGCAAATTACTACCTTCTAGATTATTTCATTACCAAGATTAAAAAGTAGCTAGTGTACGGCTAGCCTAATGGTCTATTAGATAATGACAAGCTCCAGTGAGTATCCAAGTGGCAAGGGCCTGGAATTTTATTTATTTTGATTTGTTCTTGAATTATTTCTATCTCACTACTCCAAGACTCTGGGATATTTTCCATCATGCAGATTGAAAATGGATCGTTTATTTTCCGAAATAAAAATTCGCAAGAAGTATGATTGAACTCAATTTGGATATTATATCTTGGATATTGGATGATTCAATACAAATTTACTCACAATGTGAAGCAATTTAGTTTTATAGTTATTTCGAATTTCAAAGAATCATGCCAAAATTGAAGATATTTATTAATGAGAAGGTCATCCTCTGATGATACATGATGATTAATTATCATGGTAATAACATATGGACATATGAAGAAAACTTTCTACAGTAGGAGATGTTCTTAATAACATGGAAAAGTAGAAAGACAAAACATTTTTACCCAAATAAATATAACCCTTTCAATTTAAACAAGATTCCTATGGCTGGGATCGAAAGAAATAAACGAATAAATGTCATTACGTACTGTCATCGATGACATGAGTAGATTCAGTCTACTCCTATATGGTAATGTTATCGTTACTTCAGTAGATTCAACCCATTTGTGACATAAAGTCGTAATTTTATGAATGTTTAATTCAATGTTCATATAGTAGTAATTGTTTGAAAAGTATTAATTCTTTCGTGTATTACAATGTTTATATAAAAGAGGGCTTTTTCTTTCAGTTTGTGCCCGAAAATTACTTCTTTGCATGATTTACACATTTTTGTAAAGACTTTATTTTGGAATTGATTACTTTCTTCCTTTTTTTGGAAGTTTCCCAAATTTTTTTTATGAACATGAAGAAGTAGAGCTACAAAATATTTCTTTGCAAAGAAAATATACTTTTATTTATAACTCTACAGGAGATTTTTCAGGAATCAGTTTTGTTCGCATCAAAAAGTTATATGAAAATTATCTGAATATTTTCTTCACAACTGTGATGCTTTTGGAAATAACATGGCAAAATAAGTATCAATTAGGTATTTTTCAAGAAGTAAATATAACCATGAACATATTTGAATAGGAAATATATTCGAGATGTATTTGTGTGAGTTTTGATATAATAAAAAATATGTTTAATCTGGTAAACAGATGGGTAAAGGCCGTCCTCTCTTCAGATCTTTTGGACATTAGTGAAATACATGTACGTTTTTCCACAGTGTCTTCCAATGTTTTCATTTTGCTATGTAGTTGTGAGGTTTTCAAATTTCACTTACCCTGATGAGCGTAGAAATCGCCATCCGTAGTAGATATTCCAAAACTCAGTTTATCGAATAATATAATCACCCACAAAATTCCACACCTTGTGGCGCCACATAATATTTTCGTCACTCGAAGCACGCGCGCTTTTCGGACCGAAAGCGCCGGAAAATCTCTCGCAGCCCGCGTATCGCTGGTTCAAGCGCAACTGAAATCCTTCGCACAAGCAACAAACTTATTTCAAAATTACCAGAGTCGGCTGTGATTTGAATCGCCACTCGCGCTTATCTCGCGAACGCACAATTTTTCTAATTTTAAATAGCGCGCTCACTGAAAACAAACGACTGTACGTTCGTCCACGGATGTGTCGATTTTGAGTTAGGTAACGGGTTTCGGAGTTAACATCACTCTAGTAAACAAATGACAACTAAGAACTCGTCAAGGGTAGTAAAATCGCACACTTCTTTACCGTGACCTATTAGAACACAATGAAGCCATACAGACACGAAGACTGTTTCCCAAATCCGGTCCCGAACTTGCCGTAAAGCCTCTAGTTTCCGACTACCGCTTCTTAATTATTTTACATTAGCACTGTTAGAAGTCGTTAGAATCTCTTTTACTTCCGTTTCTTCCCCACACATGACCATAATTTATTCTAATTGTATTCGAAAAACGACGCTTCTAGAATATATTCAACGGCCTACCCGAAGAGGACACTTTTATATATTTCAGCCACTTCGAGGACAGGCGGTGTTGTGGGCATCGTACAATGTAAACACTTGACTGTTTGTATAGTTGGTAAGGTCTTTGCCATGGTGCTGGAGTGGATGTGAATGGGGAGTTAAATGATGTTATATCGACAGGGGTTGGAAGGGTGTGTTGCTTTTTCAACATGACGCTGGCAAATTATTCTTTTGAGTAACAAATTTTATCGAGGATCAAACTTTGTTTACTACTTTATCTTGGTAATTTTCGTGAGATATCAACATTTTTCCGAGGTCTCATTTTTTTCTCAACATCTCGGCTTTTTTTTGAAATCTAGACCTTTCTCTCTAGAAATCGAATTTATTTTCAAGGTGTTAACATTTTTTCTAGTCAACATAAAATATCTTGTGAATAACCTAAAGAATGGATTCCTCAATAAAGCGAGACGTGAAGTTCTACAAATAAATCACTTATTTTCCGGATGATTCTTCTAGAAAAAATAATAATAATAATAGATCCATGTCATTCTTTTCATAATACAGCCAGAGTAAATATTTCATCGACTTCTAACATGACAGCCATATGTCCATCCAGCAGACAGGACCCTTGTACAAGTGAAGCATAAGACTACTAGTGAAGCATAAAATATAAGAGTTGGTTCAACTCCAGAAAACTATAATTTAATACAAAGGTAATGTCATTGTCCTTTCAACCGAAAGAAATGGCCCAACAGGCATTGGCTAAATTGTTACACATATTGGAACCGGGACTGTATTATCACTTTTAAGTTCTCCAAAACAAATTGAATTCGATCAAAACCTTTCTGTCGGTAATTATGTTATCCTTCTGCATCAGAATCAGAAAGAAGCCGGGAAAGCGTTTAAAAAATGGAGAATGAATGAAGAGTCAAACAATCTTAATGGCGACCACTTCCGTAAGAAATAAAAAAAAATTATGAGATATATAACATTCACTCTGATAAATATGATCTCATGAATATCTTCAATTGTCCAAAAGCCAAAATCAGTGCATTTTCTCTGAATAAAAATCGTATTTTCAGTAAATTTATTGTTCAACAGTTTGTGGGTTGGTAATGAATCTAGTTATATCCGTGAATCAACAACCACTACTTGTTTAAGTTATAAGCTGTCATTCAGTATCTAGTAAAAATTCAAAATGAAGGACAACGATCACGAAATTTGTGCTACCCCACCAGACATTACCGAGCAAGCAAATATTGCGATGAATAATTTTCTGCCAGCAAAATCAAGAGAAAAATACGAATATAATTTCGAAAATTTTATGAGTTGAGCAAAGAAAAACATAACTTCGTTTTCCGAAAACGTTCTTTTCGTTTATTTCGAAGATTCAGCCAAAACTTCTGTTAAAAATGGACCCTAATAAAATAATTTGTAGGAAATATTGTCACCAACTTTTAAATCATTTAATTGAGTTCTGACTGACTGAATGAGTTTATTATTCAAAGCAATGATCCTACACAAATATATTGTACCTTCCTTTCTACGGTTGGTCATAGAAAAAGTATAGAACGCACCTCGAGGATGAGGCCAATTACGTCCACTGACGAAATATCACACTCAGCTAACGCCTCGTGCTTACAATTTTTCCCTCGTGGGTGATTGGGTTCTTATCTTACTCGGTACATGATATACTATTATTAAACTTTTCCTACAAGTGTTGCTTCGAGTGAGCAAATTGTTTCAATATTGAGAAGATGGACACATGCCTGAGAAGAAAACTTCACGTCATATTTATAGCAATAAGCAGGTTGATTGCCAAAAATTTACTGATCGTTCTGCAAAAAAAGAAGAGACAAAAACTTGATTTTGTACTTTATATTCGTTTGGCTTGTTGGTTTCTAAAAATAAGATTTCATTTATAAATGTTTGCTACAGTATTTTATGAGAGTTGGTGCTGAAATATAATATTTTGATCCATGATAATAATTAAATAATTTTCAGAAAGAGAAAATATTCTAGACGCGTAACTTCATAGGTAGTAATACTACGCACTGGACTACAAACGTACACTATACTATGAGTGTATAAGTGAGTCGGAAAGACTCACACCCTAAATCGGTACGACCAATCAGCCTTACATCCTTCCTGTGGAAAGGACTTGAGATGATACTGGATGGACACATCAGGAGGGCGGCATTATATGCTTCCCCCCTGAATAACCACCAGTATGCTTATCAAACCGGCAAATCGATAGAATTAGCATTAAACAACCTTGTAGAGAAAATCTCCCAATTCCTTGACAACAAGAAGATTGCGCTTGCTGTATTTCTCGATATTGAAGGAGCATTTGACAATCTATAGGATCGTCTCAGGCTATGAAAGGTATGGAATCGACCATAACTGGCTGGATATACGCCATGCTAGTAAACAGAACTTCAACTACGACTCTTCAAGGCGAGACCATCAGGTTCAGGGTCATCAGAGGCTGGCCCAAGGTGGGGTACTATCTTTCCTTCTGTGGTCGCTCCTGATGGATAGTCTGCTTGATGCCCTCGACAGAAGAAAAGTAGATCTGCAAGCTTATGCAGATGACCTTGCCATCTTTGCAAGGTCCATGTCGGAAAGGATAGCTTGTAATATCCTCCAAAGCACAACGTACGTTGTTCACAGTTGGTGCCTGAGGGAGTAGATGTCTGTCAACCCCAGCAAAACTGTGATAATCCCCTTCATTCATTAAGAGGAGAAAATTGGATGATCTAACGCCACTTTTCCTCAATGGTGAGGTCATTCCATTTGGAATGGAGGTGAAATATCTTGGCATTGTCCTTGATAAAAAAACTCACCTGGAACGCTCACTTGGAAAAAGTTTTACACAAAACCAGACTGTCCCTATGGACATGTCGAAGGATTTGTGGTAAAACTTGGAGTTAAGGTCCCAAACAAATCCATTGGACTTATGTGATGATTGTCAGCCCAATGATCACGTATGGTGCAATTGCCTGGTGGCCGAAGGCTTTACAGAAAACGGCCCAGACGAAGCTCTCTCGCTTACAGAGGCAGGCTTGTCTGGCCATCAGTGGTGCCATCAGTACCACACCGTCACCAGTCATGGATATCCTTCTAGATCTACCTCCTCTCCACATTTTTCTGGAGAGAGAGGCTAGATGTACTGCATATAGACTTGTTTGTGCACATTGCCAGTTGCACAAATCAATTTAATGCAGAGTGCAACAGACTGTTGGTTGACACTGGAAGTCACTTTATGCCTCCAAATGTCAACTACGAACTGCCTTATGAAGTACTCTTGATCTTGAGTGATCATCAATATGGCTTTCGGAAACAAAGATCAACAGGCGAACTTCTATCGTATGTCACCCATATTTGGAATAAAGCAATCGAGAAACATGGAGAATCAAGAGCTGTTGCCCTTGATATTTCTAAGACCTTTGACCGTTTGTGGCATGAGGGTTTGCTGGTTAAACTTCGATGTTAGGGCTTCTCGGATAATTTTTGTTAATGACTCTTCAACTTCCTGAAAGAACGTTTCCTGCAAGTGGCCGCCGATGGATATCTCTCGAATACTTTCACCATCAACGTTGGTGTTCCCCAGGGATCCATATTGTCTCCAACCCTCTTTTTGTTAACCTCTGGTATTGTGGAGACAACTTTGAGTTCTATTCCTCGCAAACCGATATATTGGATTGGATAGGCACACTTGTCTCGTCATTCCATTTGGATTCCAGGACATAGGCTACGGAGGCACATCTTCACCGGCAGCAGGAGGTTGCATATCTTAATAAGGATCTAGAAGTGACTTCGAATTGGGGTGAAAGTAACCAGGTTCAATTCAATGCCACAAAAACCCAGGTGTCGGTTTTCTCCTCAGCAACTTTTGACGCTTTATAAAGCTCAGATCAGACCTTCTTTGGAGTATTGATCTCATATATGGAGCTCTGCCCCCAAACATACCCTGAAGTTGTTGGATTCCATCCAGAAAAGAGTCATTCGCTTGATTGGAGACGCGAACATCACGTGCAACCTTGATAGCCTGTAACATCTAAGAAAGGTTGGAGTTTTGTCTCTCTTCTATAGATACTTTCACGGGAAGTGTTCAAGTGACTTGACACATTTGATTCCACCAAGAGCCGTACATATCAGAAATTCGCGACGGACTGTGGCTGCTCATCGTTTTGAGATTCAACTCAGTACACCTCGAACTTCACTGTTTAAGAACTTTCTCTTCCGGAGAACTACGTGTATGTGGAATAAACTTCCTGAGATCGTTTCTCCAAATGGATTTAATCTCCAACGATTCAAATCCAATATAAATCGCTACTTTCACGCCTTGAGGATTTTCCTGTAGTGCTTGTGTTTTATCCTTAACAAAAAAAGGGTAAACTTTTTAGTTCACCCCAGTTCATTCAAAGTAATTTTCACAAATAAAAATATTCTATTAACCAGTAACTTGTCGTATTCAATATATTGCCTATCAAAGAAAGAGCTTAAAAATTACAAACATTCATAATCAGAGAGTAAAATCTACCACCGTCTTCAGAATTAATTGACCTCTGAAACATTCGATGTAGTACAAGGTGACAATCATTCCCGTCTTGATTCATTTACCGTCTGATTTTCAAATATATTCTGACAATTTTGGTCCTATTTTGTGAGATTGATAACTTATTTATTTTGTGGAAATTCATCTTCAAGCAATTCACTAGTGTTAGAACACTAGAGTTAGAACACTTAAGAATGATATAAAAACCGAAACCTTGGTCGTATTAATATCAATACATTAAGTAAGTGGAAATTAGACAAAGTATTTTATTCCTATATCTAATTGAATTTTGATCCTGTTAGTTGTGTATTTAATGGTTTCGAAGTTTCACCAATATAGCTTTTATCATACAAGGTATCTCACAACTGCCATTTTTAGTTCTTTCTTCTGTGTTGGGTTTTTTATGTGTGAGTATAGATCTCAGTGTTTTTGCTGTTTTGTATGGAGTTCTAACATCATTTCTATTTCCAATTAGTCTTATCATTTCATAGTCGGGATATAACGTTAGGTGTGAAAGGTGTCGATAGTTTTTGAGTCGGTAATTGTTGGGTTGGTGGTTGTTGAATCTGTGATGCTGTTTGTAGGATCATTTGGTTTTTAATTGACGGTTTATTTTCTATTGTATTTATTGCTGAATCTACGAGATAAGAGAAACTCATATTGCTTAATTCTTGATGATAAAAGTTATCTCCAGATTGAAACAGGTTTGGTTTATACATGATCTTAAAAGTTTTAATACGGAGATAACTTCCATTTTCGTTAGATGTTTCAAAGTTGAGTCAATGTCAAACCTGGATCTAACAATTCGAAGAGTTTCATCAACAGGTACCTACATTCATGGAATCGAAGCTCACTAGAACATCACCATCACTAAGAGTTGAAGTTTTAAGTTTATTTATGAAATTATATTGGTTTTGAAATTACTAAAAGATATCTTGCTAATTTTCAACAATGAGATCCAATTGGAACTCTGTTAGATTCAAGGAGCAGTTATTTTCCGGAAAGTTTAACGATGCCGAAGTTCAACAAGAGTTCGCAGATTGTGAAACCAGTTCACAGATTTCTTATGGTGAAAAAATCAATCGAAAATTCCGATTGCCAAAGTTAGAGCTGACCAATTTCGACGAAAATGTGAAAAGCTGGATCGGGTTCTGGGGACAGTTTGAAAAGATAGACCAGGATGAAGACATCGATTTAGAAGACAAATTTCACTATTTGATGCAGGCAACGGAACAAGTATCACCAGCACGGAAAATTGTGAAGAGTTTTCCTCCATCCTGCGCAAACTACAAAAAAGCACTTGAACAGTTGAAAGTACGGTTCCCTAGAGACGAATTTCTGATTGAGGTTTATGTGAGAGAGCTGCTGAACCTAGTTCTTCACCAGGTAAACAAAAATGAGTCAGGTATGTCATTATCATCTTTATACGATAGATTGGAGACTCAATTACGAGCGTTAGAGTCATTAGGTGTGACAACTGAAAAGTATGCTGCAATGCTTTTCCCATTGGTTGAATCCGCACTTTCGAGTGAGTTACTCAAGATTTGGAGAAGACATCGCAGTTCGAAGGGGAAAATACATAGTAAAAATGAAAAAGATACTTTTGCTTCTGACAACTTTCTCACAATGTTGCTAGATTTCTTGAGAACCGAGGTGGAATAGGAAAAAGAATAAATTTGGCAAAAAGGAGCAGTTGAAACATAATAGTAAGGGAAAACGTTTACTGCAAAGTGAGCCTGAACTCTGCTGCAGCATTGTATACAGTTAATACAAAAGATTCCTCCAAAGGAGGAATATGTATATTTTGTAATAATACTACTCGTGCAAGTCAAGATTGTTTTGCTGCACAAAAACTTTCTTTGGAAGAGAGAAAAGCAATAGTTGTGGAAAAGAAAGGTTGCTTTTCTTGTTTGAGAACCAATCATATAAGCAAACATTGCAAAGCATTTGTAAGATGTTTAATGTGCGCACGGAAACATTTTCCAATAATGTGCTGTGATTTAGATTCGAAAAAGGTTCAACCAGATGAAAATTCCAAACAAAAATTGGAAAATTGTAATTTTTCAACTGACACGCTCTTAAAAACTGTCATTATCAAAGTGACAAATGATAATTATAAACAGAAACTTGTCAGGGCTTTGCTGGATTCCGGTTCTCAAAGATCTCTTTCACGACGAGCGTTCGTTAGGAATATATGGAGAACGATTCAAAATAAAAACTTGAAATTTTGTGGTAGTAGGTTTTACAAAACGGCCTTCTCCACTAAAATATTTTCAACTTCCGGTCTCTTTCCGTTATACCGGAAGTCGACTGCAACTTCCTTATTTCAAATAGAACACCCTATATTTTATTACATTTTTGAATTTCTCAGCACATTTTAGACCTACTTTGTATAACAATGCCTATACCCAAATTTATTAGTTTTCGAGATATTAATTTTTTTCTGAAAAATTTGACAGTTACAGCACCACCCCGAAAAAATCATAACTCATAGACAGTAACAGTTGAAAATGTGAAATTTCACAGAATTACACCTGTTGACAACGTTGACAACTGTGTTACCAGTGTCAATAATATTGAAGAATGACACTTTTATTAGTCAATCAGAAGAGTTAATGTCGATTGGAAAATTCAACCTCAGACAATGGGGAAAGAAACGGTTCTGTTTTAGGTATTTCATAGGATTCTAAAAGAGATGTGATTTGTCCAGTCTCATTAATTTGAATATTACACCTGAAACGAAAAGAAGTTTATTATCAATATCTCAAAAGATCTTTGATTCCATTAAGTTTCACATGTTCAGTAACGTTGATTCCGAAACTGTTATTACCGTTAACATGGACACTTAAAATTGGTTAGGATGAAGAATTACCAAGTGACATAATCCATAAATTTTAAGAGTGGATGAAACAATTACATTTCCTTAATGTATATAAAATCCCTAGATCGCTTAATAATTTAACTCATTTCATTCATAAAAATGTTTCTATTAATGTATTTTGCGATGCCATCAAAGTGGCATATGCATCTTGTGTATTTTTGAGAACAGAAACAGATAAGTAAGTCGTTCTACAACACTACAACTCATTCAGGCTAAATCTAGAATAGCACCAAAAAACACCACAATATCAAGGCTTGAGTTATTAAATACAGTCATTGGAGTAAGATTATGTCAATCTATTAAGAGGGTGGAAGAGATGAAACACTTGAAAACATTTTATTGGAGTGATTCCATGGTAGCCCTAACATGGATAAAAACCAAAGGGTCCTGGAATACATTTGTGGGGAATCGCGTGAAAGAAATAAATTCGTGCAGTAGTATTGATGATTGGTATCATGTACCAGGGGACCTAAATCCGGCAGATATTGCATCACGANAGGGTAGCGAAAATAAAAGTTACCAGTGGTGAACTTATTCGACAGTTTCAGCGTTTACATCCTTTAGAAGTTACGACAGAAGAGGACAGTAAGAATTTTCTTCAAATTAAAAAAAATGAATGTAGTCAAAGGTGAAACTGATGAGGACTACATAACAGAAGAGCAGGACATCAAAGAGAAAATTGAAGAGATACTCACAAGAAGGAGGCGAAAAGTCAGACCTCCGCCTTATTATGGTTTCGAATGAAATTTATACTTAATGTTATTTTGAAATTTCTCTTTCGTTTTTTATTTCAATTTCGAAATGGGGGAGAATTTTAGATTTAGAATGTATGTTTTTATCATTCCTCTGTATATAGATTTTCTATTTAGTTTATGTGATGTCTGATAATATTTTTAGTGGAATCAAGTTAGTTAGTAAGAAGATTCTGATGACAGTTGTCAAATAAATAGAATTTAAAAACGTCAGTAAGACTTTATTTGATAATAAAATTATATCAATCCCATATTTGAAAAACTCACAAGGGGTCTCAAAGGAACCCTTGCAGGTTTGTAAATATTAGTGAATGAAAAAAACATACCCACAAGAAAAAAACAGTGTCTTAGCCATGAACACACGTCAATTTAGTCACAAAATAAATGAATTAAGGGTAACAATATGCAACCAAAAGCAAATGAACACAGCTGAGAGTTTGAGATATAACTTTCGCCTTCGCAGTAAATGCACATACCATTGATGATGTCTACTGCAGTAGTAGACGTAACGTTTGGTACTTCAGGTTCCATTCGTGACTCCGGCTATGAAAGCTTGTGTTTTATACAAAAGTTTAAAATTTTCTGCATTTTCCTAGGTATTCATTAACGGTTTCATTCACCGAGTTGTGTTGTATAAAAAATTTTATATTAAACCTGGGTTTGTCTCTTTTCAATCTTTTCAAGCACAGAACCATAGATTATGAATGTTCTAAGTATTTGAGTTCTGTGGTTGTAACTCAAATGATTGGTCCACGTCCAAGCTGTTATGTCTATGGATATAAATAACACGTGACATGTGACATGACACATGCATTGTTTTGTTTTTCAAAAATTTGGAACATGTGGTTTGTAATCATTTTATTTACAAAATCCTGGTGAAAATTACAGTTTTCAAGTGATGGTATTTTTTCAGTGTTATTGAAGTAGCGTATAACAGCATAAATACAGTGTTCTGAATAAAAAAGACCATAAAAATGACTTCACGAGTTTTAGGTGATAATTTTACTCAGTGTCAAGAAGTTAGTTCTTCCTCTGACTTATTTGATAGTCCTTTCCAGTCCGCTTTTTCATTTCGAGGTAGACCTTCATACAGATCTTTCCGGATTTCAAATTTCCATCAACTTCCTAGACATTCCCTCGTTATGAACGAACCAAATCGACCACATATCTCTCGTATGTATCCAAATATCTCTCCATCATAAAGTCAGAAGAATAATGAGACATATATTTATTATTTATGAAATCATGATAAATTTATTGAAGAGTAGGATAGTGTTGGACAATAAATGACAATATATATCTTTGTTCATATTTTATGATTTCATTCATCATTTGTACAGATCCTAAGAATACAATAGGACCCACAAAGTACGACAGGTCAGATATTTTTTATGCATCCTGGCAGTGCATATATGCAGCACATATATGATAATAAATAGTGATTGAATGAGATCCCATGTATAAAATAAAAGTAAAGCATGTAGGTAATAGTCAAAGGGGTGGACGACAATTCAATTACGATAGTTTTTTTGGTGTCAACTGAAGACTACGTATTATAAAACTCAATCAGCATCTCTAGATGGTGTACGTGAAATTGATTTGTATTTGTTCAACACCCTGTAATTCTTCAACAAAGTTATCCATAAGACAAATTCAATGAGTGATTATCAATTTGGATGGAACAAAATCTGGGTTGGTGGAATGTGATCATAGTCAACACGCATACTACTGAAGATGTACGCCGCAGGAGCAAACAAAACATTTGGTACTACAATTCAATTCGACCACAGTCCACCAGCTTGAATTTTGTTCTCTCCAATTGTTGCTCCAACTGTGAAAGTCTATGTTCTTATAATAATCGAATTGATTTTTTCAGATCAGAACGACAAAGTCCCCCCAACGTTTGCTACAATTGGGGTGATAGTGATATTCTTGACTGCCCTTTCATCATTATTTCTAGTTTACAGTACATTTCCGAATGTAACAGAGTAAGTAAATGTAGCTTCTGAAGATTTCAGTTTTTGAGTTTTCTATTTCGCATAGTTATTACTATAATTTCGGTAGCCTTTTTCAACTGTCGATCCCATAAATGGCGTCTTCTTGGGAAGATGTCATCACCTGTACTTTCAGGCTTGTCTTTTTTAAGGCAGTTGAGTGATTCAGCCTAGCACCACTGATGAGACCTTGGTGAGTCGAAACAGTGCTGTCTAGTGTTCGATCACACAAGAACATCTTCGCAAATAATACTTTCATATTTCTCATATCATTAATAATCATACTCGGGAGGTACTTTGGGTCAAGTATCTGTTCACAAGTTCGTATTTTCATTCAAACTTCAGTTTTAGCATCATCACTTGAATTATTTAATCTTACAACATATGAAATTATTGCCTTACTGATAAATTGGAATCCTCTCACCTTTATGTTATGTTAACATTATGATCCACAAAAAATGTTACACAAATAAAAAATTCTCTTTACAATCTGAAATTATCATAAACTTGTTTTGAATTATTTACCCCGAGTTTTAAGTATTTGGGTATTTTACATTCCTACAGCTACTGGACTGAGTCATGGCCAGTGGGAGAAATCATATCTGCGTAAAGTTTGGGTCGTAAAATTCCGTAATTATGTTTATGCAATTTACTTTTAAACTCGCATTACTAACTGATTACGGTCCTGAATTTAGATGTTGACGGCTTAAATAATGCAACAGACTGATAACAGATTTCTACACATCTACTGCACATCTTGAGGGAGGGGCTTCTTACCAGCCATGACTCAGTCCAGCAGCTGTACCCGGAAGACACTGAGAATGTTTTTTTTTCTCAAATCATCAAGTCAGCAGAGATAATTAGAGTCAGCAAATTAATGGATGTAGCCGTTACTATGTAGTAGGAGATCATCATGAAAAATTAGAAACAAAACTTTCTGGTTTTTTACCATTTTACAATTACAACTATAGTAACATCAGTTACAATTACAACTATACTAACTGATGTCACTATAGTTGTAATTGTCTAAAAATGTCCTATAAGGACATTTAATCATTTAGCAGACTACATCCGCATTGCTTATGCTTATGAATTTCCAAGGATTCCAAATAATTGAGTTTCCAACGCTTGCGTTATGCAAAATTTCAGTATTCCATTCTAAGGAAATGGTTTGAATACATCGAATCATTTTTACCTAGTCTGAAGGACCTTTCATGTTCAGCATATCATTTTGAGAAATTTTGACCACACTGTCCCACATAAACACTATTTTTCTGAAAAAAACAGTGTGGAAGAGGCATTCAGACCACATTCCAGGTTATCTAATTTCCTTTTTAATGCCAATAATAAAGTGGACAAGATAGAGAAATCTAGACGTTATAAGCTCAAGTATCCGGAGTGTAATAGTGTTTAAGTGGGACAGTGTTGTCACAATTTCTCGAAACGGTATGCTGAATATGGAAGATCCTTCAGAATAGGTAAAAATGATTCGAATTTTTCAAACCATTCCTTGGAATGCAACCACAAGTTCCCGAATCGGAACAATACGGAAATTTTGCACTATGCAAGCAAAGGTTGGAAACTCAATCATTTGGAATCCTTGGAAATTCATAAGCATTGCAGATGTAATCTGCTAAATGGGCAATTCGAGCTAGTTTACTCACCAGTTTTCAAATTAGCATATCCACATTGTCAAAGGTAAACAAAATTTCAGGTACTCAATGAAGTTACGGATCGATATTATTACCGACACTGATATATAAGAGCTAACATTATGATAAGTGGTAAAAAAACTTTGAAAGTTATAGTTCTAATTTTTCATAAATAGTTATCATGGAAAAATCGGATACCATAAGAAATATAATGTTGGTTGGATTAGGAAAAAAATTGGCCATTTTAGAGCTTATTTGAATGACGTTTTGTAATTAGGAAAATTCCCAGGGTTTTTGGGGTTATTCAAAAAGAATATGAATTTGACAATTTCGTTTTAATTTTTCTGACGTTAAATACGAAGCTACTAAAAACAAAAAAGCACTACCTCATTGCCAACTTTCCAGCTGTACAGGATGGCATTCACAAATTTCCAATCTGGTATTTTGGTTGTGAGAAACCATAACCAATTTTAATTCTTTACACGAATCACAAAAAAATTACCCAATATGTGTTAACTTTCTGGCGACAACTTCATTGATGTTTGTATCAACGTAAATTTCAAGACGCCATTTAAATAAGCTCTAAAATTTCAAATTTTTTCCGAACTGAACAAAATTGGGTCAAGTATCTTTATGAGTCAAATATTTTCAGTTTCCCCTAATGGAGGCTCACTTCCATTTTCAATTTTTTCAGGGAAGAAAAGCAGTTTATTAAACTACCATATAATTTGGAAGATGCTAAAAACCTTGGCATCGTGTTGAACAAATATAAAAGTGAACATTACTATCAAGTGATGGCTGGAGTGTTTCTAATGTATATATTGTATCCTTTTTTAAAATTGTTATTGAAAAAATACGGATGCAATGAAACATGCATGCAGTAAAACACGATGAAGCGGTAGTGATGTATCCGTATACATTTAATAGGGAAATTCATCATCATCAAATCAATCAGTATGAAGAAAAATGAATTTTTTCATTTTACCTATCATCATTTTCTCATGCCTAAAATTAGGGCCCAAAAAACACTACTCCCGCAAATTCACAAATGAACAACTAAAAACACGGCAAACACCAAAACCATACTGTTCTTATGATCAGATGGATGGTAATTGGATTTTTCAATACACAATTTTTAAAGAGTTAGTACAATTCTAAAAAAGAGTTACGCTCTACATACGAAATGGGTTGATATTAAAGATAGTACATGGTAAATTACTTCAATTCATCAACACAACTGATAAATAAATGAAAATGGACATCTCATATATATTTATGGGGTGATATAACAAAAGAAAATTATTTATATACCTACCTGAATGAATGTGAGGTAGATAATATTGGCTCCATTAAAAAAAAAATACAAAAACAAGCCGTTCATCAGGTTCACTTTGAAAAACAATAATAAGCGTTATATGATATTGACATACTGTGGTGAACTTACAATAACGTCGCTCATTTTTTTAAAGAGAAAGGCGGACGCGGCCTACAGAACAAATAATAATTTGTGCCAATTTATTAAAAACAATAAAGGCAAAACTTCAGTGTCGGATAAATTAGGAGTATATAAGTTGACTTGTGGTTCTTGTCCAAAACTTTATATTGGCCAATCGGGCAGAACCTTCTTTCATAGAATAAAAAAAAAACATATGAGTAGTTACTTGAATGTGAAGATCAATTTTACATTTGCAAACCATCATTTGACAGGGGGCATGAGTAAGAGAGAGAATATGCTTTATTGTTCAAAGATACAAAATCTTGTGGACAAAGTAAAGGCATAAAACAATCTTAAATTAAGATAAAGTAAAATACACATACAGACAGAAGAATTAGGACAATAAGTCGACACCGACAATATTTTGACTCAATATTTTGGAATACTTGGAAATTAATAGATTTAAGAATTGGGAAAATTTATTGAATGACCCAATAGAATTGGTAAAATTATTAGTCATTGAGTAGGTAGTTTTTTTATAATGCTCATTTCTTAATTAGTTTGTATGGAAACTCTGGTCAAACTATTAGTCATTAGGTAGGTAGAAGGTCATGACTCAAATTTTTATATTACATAAAGCACAAATTTGGTATAATAATAACTAATAATACACACACAGAAAGAAGAATTAGGGCAATAAGTCGACACCGACAATATTTTGACTCAATATTTTGGAATGCTTGGAAATTAATAGATTTAAGAATTCG